GGGACACAGAGGTTAGAGGGGCGCCCTTGGAAACAAAGCCAGCCCGGGAGGCCGGAGGGGGCGGGGTGTAGGACTCGCGCAGCCCTCGCGGTGCACAGTCCCACAGGGTCAGCCCCTTAAGCAGCTCTAAAAATACAATACGGACTCCGCGAAAGGCAAGGCAAGCGCCCTCCGAAAGAAAAGGGAGAGATGTGAGCTCCTGGCAAAGCCCCATCCCTGTTCCAGTGGTCCTCGCAAATCCCCCGCTGCCATCTGAAACCCACCTCCCAGACCTGGAAACCACAGCTCCAGGGCTTCCCGAGTGGGGTACAGGCCTGGGAGCTGCCGGCAGGCCCCCCCCGGCAGAGCCCAGACCTGAGCCCCTGGGCAGGGTGACAATGCCCTTGCCCAGAACGCCCATTCTGGGACAGGGTTCCTTTAAGAAGTTGCTTATTTTCCTGGGTTGGCACAGGTCTGCCTCTTCTGAGACAACTCTCAGTAACCACCCTCAGGTCGATGGCCATTAAAGGGTCCCCAACGTCTCCAGGATCCGCTCCCTCAGCCCTGTGTGCAGGGGAGAGCCTGTGGCTGGCCAGTTAGCAGAGCTCCTCTCTAGGGGCCCCTGAGGGCCCCAGACAGAGATGGCATCAAAATGTCTCCCGCTGGCGGTGCCATGGGTGCACCCTGACCATTCCAGAAGCAGGCAGAGCCGAATGCACGGTCCAGTCGCCCTTCTTGGGGTCCCGGTGGGGCTGTGAGTAGCCTGGGGCAGGACGGGGCCCCGCAGCCAAAGGCTCTGGGAATCCCGGATTTAGGGTCCGTTCCGCCTGCTTCTTTCTCAGAAGAGCCGACGGGAGGAGTGCGGCAGAATGGCCCCACGGGAGATTTCCTCACGGGGTGCATTGGGACTTCCAGGGGCGCCCCTGTCCCCTCCTGCTTCCCACTCGCAATCCTGCACACCTGAGCTCCTCCTCACACCCGCTGGCCAGTGAAGTGGCCATGGAGTTAGGATAGGGCGGAGGAGCCAGCCCCTCCCAGTCTGCGAGGGGACAGTGAGGTGCTGGGCAGGGCAGATGCTTGTGTACTTTCTGGGAGCGGGGGTGTAGGTGGCCAGGGCTCTTGGGCTTTCAAGTGCTTCGGATGGCCCCCTCCACAGTCTTGGGGGGCCTGGAGGCTCCCCCAGTCACCGCAGAGGCAGCTCCAGGAAAGATCCAGTGTCCGGGCAGACTGGGAGCCCCCTTCCTGTTCAGCTCTGCGGAGGGCTAGCCAGGCTCGGTGCAAACGCACTGTCCCAGCGGGTCCCTCAGCGTGGCCCCCGATGTCCTAGCGTGGGGCCCCAAGGGGCCTGGCTGAAGGAATAGGGCCTGAGCCTCCAGAGTCTGCCGCCCCTGGTGGTGGGGAGGCTGCGGGGGGCCGCTCACCCTCCCCTGGCGTCCGGACCAGCAAGCCACTTCGGAAACACCCATTGCAAAGATTTCCCCGGGTTTTTTTCCCCAGTAAGGGGGAAGGCAGGGTATGGGGAAGCTCAGCCGCTTCCCAGAGGAGGGCGGGGAACTAGGTTGCTGCAGACCCCCTACCAACCCACAGCTGGCGGCTAGGAGGCTGGCCCAGCGTGGACCAGTGGCTGGAGCTGTCGCTGACAGGGCCCTGCAGGGACCCCTCTCTTGGCCTGTCCCAGCTGTTCCACAGGTCAGTTCTTTGCCCTGGACATGAGTGTCAGGAAAAAATTAAACGCAGTAAGAAGAGGAAAACCTTTCCTGCAACCCCACACCCAGCGGCTATAACCCTGAAAGACCCCCGGCCGGGCGGCAGGCGGGCAGCAGGGTATCCTCCTCTCTTGCCCGTCACCAGTCGCCCGAACCCCACCAGACATCTCAGGAAATCCTAGGTTTGTGCTTCAAGCTTGCCAAGATCAGTCGGCGCACACCGAGCCCCTCTCTCTGCTGTCTCCGGAACATGACCCCCACCCCCAGCAGCCCTTGGAGGAGGAGCCACGAGGGTTTCTGCAGCGCTGTGTGTGTGTGTGGGGGGGGATGCTGCAGGTAGAAAGACGCAGAGCAAGCACACTGTCGTCAGGCTTCTGCATTCCAGGGAGAATCCCGGATCCGCACAGACGTGGGGGATTCATTTCAGCCCTGCCCTGCTCGCCGTGCCTTTGCGCAGCCCTACCCGCAACTCCCGACAAATGTCAGGGCGGGAGCGGAGACCTGAGGGTTCTTCACTCCTCGCTCGACTTTTGCTCTTTCTCCGGGGACGCTCCGCCAAGGGATTGCGCAAGCTTATTGCTCATGGTCCTTCAAGAGCCCGAGCAGGGGCCTCAGGCGCGCCCCAGCGCCTCCCACTCAGGGGCCGCTCTACCCCCTTCCAGGCCCCCCCACTCGAACCCAGCGGGGTCACCGGCCCACAGCGGCGCCCTCGGGAGGCCGCGTGGGGCGCAGCACAGGTGCCGCCGGACCAGCCACTGGAACGCTCCGTCTGGCCGCCGGAGGTGCTAAACTTCACACCAGGCGGCCTCTGCAGCCGGGGCCTGCCAGAGGTCCTCGGCTGGGCTGCCTGTCCTGGACCAGGAGATGCGAACTCACGACGAAAGGGTGGCTCCGTGGCCATTCCATTCACCTTCCCTCCGCACCAACCGCTCCACACTAGCTCAGCCTCCACCCCCTCCTGGCCCTCCTTGCTCTCTTTCGAGGTCCTTCCTGGGGGCCCCCCAAGAGTCCTCCGGCCACCTAGCAAATTCGGACATCCCTGGGCGTCCTGTCTTCCCTGCTCTCGCCCTGCCTGGCCCTGCAGGGAAACTGGACAAGCCGCCTCTGTCCCGCCAACCAGAGGGCCAAGTGCAAATTCCGAGCGGTTTGGGATCTGGAATGGGGTGAGCTCGATGGAGCCCCTTCCTGGTGAGGTCCTTGGCGCCTGGGCCCGGGTTGGCTGCTCCTCTGCGGCTCCTTCGTGCACTCCTTCGCACCCAGTGCTGTCTGCTCCCCGGTCTCTCCCTTCCCTCCCTCGCCTTCCTAAAAGCCCAGAGCCTCGCGGGGCGGCGCGGGGCGCCGCGCACCTACAGTGGGGTGTCAGCTGCCCCTGCCCCGATTCCGCCCCCTGCCGGCGGTTCCCTTCTCCTCCAGAGCCGCATATGACGCAATTCGGTGCAACTGGAAACCCAGTGGATGCTCCCGTGGCCCCCAGCAGGGTCCCCGGGCCGT